GAAGACTTTGGTCGTCTGCATTATGAAGTGATCTTTTCAAGATAATTTTGCCAAAGAAATAAAATAGTGTAAATAACACGACTAAAGACTGGAAAACTTCCTCATTTCTAATTTCAGTTTTAATTGGTTTCATTAAGGTTAGGATTAATATGATTTAAAAAAATTTAGTTTTAAATACTGCATGCAATTCTCAAAGGATTTTTAAAAATACACAAAGTTTTCAATTGGTTTCAAGTACCGAAACACGTTCTCTGTTAGTTTTATATAATGCACAGAATTTCAAATTTAGTTCAAATAAAATACAGGGTTTTCAGTTAGTTTATGTTCTTGAACATCATTTGAACTAACTGAAGTTACTTTAAGAAATTTTAAAGCTTTCCGGTTAGTTTTAAATAATCTAGAATATCGCGTAGTTTTATTTAACGTAGTTTTAAGTAATGAAATATAGTTTAGTTCATATAATAGTAGAGGAAATAAAAAATAAAAGTTCACAGATTTTCAGTTACTTGAAGAAAAAAAATACATACGAATTCAGAATATTTGTCAAAAAGTTTATTGTACTGTGCACTGCGTACCACGGTATTCGTTATGTGCGGTTTTCGAACTGCATTTTAGCACGAAGCAACCTCATGTCTTTTGCCTCCGCCACCAAATTACTGGGAGCGAATTCGATCGATGGATGCTGCAAAAAGTCTGCAGGAGTTTCATGGGTCTGAGTGCTCTCGCTGACGACAGTGGCGAAGAAGTTCCTTTGTCACACAGAGAGGCGTTGCACAGCATCGAACAGCGATGTACGTATCTTACTTCGCGTTCCTATACGGGAGTAGGAGAACGTCACATAATGAAGAGATTCATAATATGTGACGTGCAGCTAATATTGTATAGTTGATTAAATCACGAAGGAAGACATTTTCGAGACATGTTGTACACTTGGGGACTTCAGAACTTCATACGAAGTATTTCTTTGGAAACCCAAACAGAATTTACCACGTGGGAGATTTAGACTTAAACACGTGGTGATATTTAAAAGCGAATTGGATAGTTTTGGTGTGAAGTTTGGGACTTGACTGAAATACCTGAGAACATGGTATAATTTCAGCCTTTTATGACCATATTAATAAGCCTTAAAACTCCTTAAAACAGCTACTGTAATGAGTAAGTGATAAGCTATAAACGTTTGAAGTAACACCCAACTCAGTACTTGATTTTTCATCGGTGCAGAAGTCAATCAAATGCATTCTTCACAGACTTCATCACAAACGAATTGAGATTACATTTATTAGACCTACGGAGTTAGGACGCAAACATCGTTGGGCCATCGATATAGTACCTGAAATGTAAAACCAAATAATAATGCGAGCAATGGAGAATGCTCATCATAATATCATGAACCAAAAACCCACGGTCCCAGCGACCAAGCGGCACAAGGCCCACGCCTCAGATCGCGCGGCCACTGCGGACCCCACCACGTCTAATATATTTGATAAGTCAATCATTTGCGGGGCCCGGGGGAACTCCCCCACCACCACCACGCCCTTCAATCTAATATATTTGATAAGTCAATCATATGCGGGGCCCGGGGAAACTCCCCCACCACCACCACGCCCTTCACGGTCCAGTAAGTGTGAAACCGACATATTCGGAGACAAACCTGCTCAGTGTAATGAACGTTATCAATCACAAGTGCTACATGTACTGCTCTAAGGTCAAATCATGGAGTCGTATGCAATTTTGATCTTTGGTATACCTAAGGCTTGTTTTGCTACATTTTGTTTCATAATGGAGGTCAAATGTTTCGCTGTGCCGAGGGGCCAGTGGTGATATTTTATTGTCGAGTGTGAGTTTTTCGCTGCACGCTGGGAGCTGTAAATTCGTGATTTATCGTTGCTGCATAGGGGCCATGGGGAGAGTGGTCTGTCAACATGGACTTGCTCTTATTCAAGTTCAAATTTTAGTGGTTGTTGCCATAGTATCTGTGTGTTCGAGTATCGTATTAGTTGTTAAGTGAACTGAGTTCCGGACTGCCGTTCTGCTTCATAAGAAGTTGAAGTTATATTTTCGTTCGCTTGTGCTTGGTACAAACGTGATTTTTATTGGCTTCAACCGATTTTACCGAACACCCAAAAAATTATCTTTAACTATATCAGTGTTTATCACTTAGAATTCTCTTTGTCACTAAGAATCTTGTGAGCTATAACATATCTAATAACTGTGTACAGAATATTATACGTATTTTCATATATGACGATAATTTCCAGTCTATAGTAATTCACAGCGTTTTAAGTTTTCTAATTACTTCATTCTTCAGAGACTGTCCGTCATGAGGTTATTAATATAAAATTTATCACAGACATGAGAAATTTAATTAAATAACTTTGTACAGATATTAATTAAAATGGATGATATTGAAAACAACAAATTTGAAAAAAAACAAGAAAGAAACAAAGAAGCAGAGAATGACGAAATAAAAAAGAACTAAAGAGTAATGGAAAAGGAAAGAAGACAAAATAGTAAGAAAGTAAACAAGACAGAAACAAAGGTTGAATGATTGAAATGAAAGATGGCAAGAGGGAAAGGGAAGGAAATAAATGATAACTCTGTCTCTGCAGCAAACTGAAGAAACATTTTTCTGTTTCTTTAAACACAAGAAGGGGCACTCTATCTATGGAGTCCAGAGAGTCGCATTTCGCTTTGGAATGGTAAACATAATATTCAGTTTTCTACTGCGACAAACCCCCTGTTTCACACTGTTCACTGTGTATGACATGACAAGTTTATTGAAGGGTTGGTTATTTATTAAACTTGCTGTACATGACGACGTGTGGAAGACAGCTGCAAGGAGACCACAGGGGAAATCAAAAGTTATACGTTGTGAGGTCCATACATAGCCGCTGTTGTGGTTTGAGAGAGAGAGACATTTGAACTGAATTGCCTCCATACATCCCAAATGCCTAATCTTACTTTCATAGACAGCCCCACTTCTTAATCATTAATTTCTTAATTATTATTATTACAAGCATAGTGACGTTCCCGGGAGTAGATCAACACTTTAAACCCCCTTACATAACCGGTCATCACTTCCTCATACCCTGCACCCTTCAACGCCAAAACTGAACACACCACAGCATTGACAGTCCGTTATCAACTGGCTATTTAAATGCCAAAAAGCATTTAGCTAACATTTTTCACCTTTTCAGGACATTATTTTGTCTCTTTATTTGTATTTATTTGTTATTTGTGTATTTGTTGTTTATTTAACGACGCCTTCGGCATCTAGATTATTTTACGACGAATGAGAGAATGGCAGTGAGTAGCAAATTTGAAGGGATGTGGAAGGAACAGGTCGTGACTTGGTTTGAGGTAATATCCCGGCTTCATTTATTATTATTTTAGTAATATTTTTATGGGAAAGGTTAAGTTAATATGTGTACAAAATATTAATATTTGAGCTGGGATAGCTCAGTCAGTGTAGTGACTAGCTAGGGGTTGGACGACTTGGGTTTGATCCCCGTGGGGGGCAGAGGATTTGGCGCAACATCCAACAAGTCATCAAAAACACGTTACATGTTAGTGAAGGAAACAAAACACCGAACACATTCACACAGAATGATTTATGCCACGCAACAAGCAGAATAACACAGCGGTAACGATCTGTAGGCACATAGAACAAATCTCTGACAATATATTAACCATCCTGACTGACGATTATCGTGATTTTCTTGCGTCTCGATACAGCATATCAAAATCGGCCGTATTTGTCTCCTACTAAATCCTTATTTTTCCACAATTCATGAACGTTTTCTCCACATGCACACATCGAAGTTATCAATCCAAGAATCATTGTGGTCAGACACCCCCGTTTATCAAACAAAGTAGCATTTTTTGGAAACATCTCAAGTGTGTGTCTGATTGCCCACGTGGACTATCGGATTCGAGACCTGCTGAAACAGGGAACACCTAAGTTTCTGGATGACGGAAAGCTAGGCGACCGTGAAAACGTACCGAAACAATTCGCGAACTAAAATCATTAGGTTACGCACGAGTTCTCACTTCTGCTGTAACATCTGACTCAAGATGAAATATCGCGAGAGTGTGACAGATAATTGGACAATTTACAAATGAAACATTTAAAACTCGTTATGAACTTCGGCTTTCGGGTGAGAGCGGCGTCAAATGTCTGGTGTTGGCCAGCGCTTTGATAACATTGCAGTTGCCATTTTATGGGTATGGGTATGGATTTTAAAATTCTTGCTCGCATCCCCATAACCATTTTGCAGCACACTAAGGTAGCAGCGAGCACACTGCTGGTTTTCCGAACCTTGTCAAAATCGATGTTTTATGTTGCCCGACTCATTGATTACAACGTCCCAGTGTTTATAAATCTCAAGTTTCAAATGCACGTAAAATAGCTTCCTGTGCACTGCTGTTTTTATATTTTAATTAAATAAAGTGGAAATATGTTTCAGTGATATTTGTGTGTGCTTGTGAGAAAGGGGAGGAATGAATTTTTTTTTCCTGAACTTAAGCTTGCAATCAGTAAAAGTAAATGGTTATGGTTACACCACCCACGTGATAACCTCCAGAAGAATCACCTGCTTTTTAACGACCCATAACAGACAGTGAGCTCTGCAGATTTACAACGCGTGTCTTCCCACGATCTGAGGAAAGGGAAAATTCGATGATTTTTTTTTAAAAACTGGTAAAATGAAGGAAAAGAGAAATGAATGAAAATGCAATCAAAAGAAACACAACATGAAGCAACGGCGATACATAAATGTCTGTGTGCGCTAACTTCTGTAGTTCCAGGGGAATAAAATGTGTAAACGTTCAACAGTTGACGCACTGTATATTCCTAGAACATTTACTGAATAGCAATATAACTCCGTTATCTGGCACTGAAGCAGATACCAGAAACAGTGATAAGATTGCGCGCATCGCCCGTGAGCTTTTGTGAAGAAGTGCAGACCGATTTCGCAGTTTACACCAGGTGATTTCAAGGAACAAGCAGAATCTGTCTCTACTGAACAGGAACATTTGGTAGTCCGTCTCCGATTACTGCTGAAGTATCTTCTAATCTGGTACGTAAATCGATGTGTCATTAATTTATAAATAAATTTAATGAGAATATAAAGACTCAGGTCGTTTATAGGTTTTACTGATCAACAAATTTCACAAGAAACTTTGCTGTCGAATGATTAGTACTTTTGCTCTTTACTCGGGAGGTCCCCGATTCAAATTACGACCCTGCGACTGGCTATCCTAGCTGATAATTCTCGTGGTTTCTCCCAGTCACACCAGTCCTTCCAAATCCTTTCTAATTCTTCATTCACAAATCGACTTACCATTCGATGGTACATAACCTAAATGGTGACGAAATATAGATAAACAGCACACAAATATTACTTAAAAAACAGGTATGCGTAAAATTTAAATGAGGATGCACACGTTTTTTTTTCGTCGATATAAAAATACACTTCCTGTTGTCATGTTGTTGTTGTTGTTATTATTATTATTATCAAACTATGGACAAAGTCCAGAAATGCACCAACATACAATCATAGTAGCTGTTTCATAAAGAATTGAAGAATTGAATTGAATTATTATTATTATTGTTATTATTATTACTATTATTATTATTATTATTGGAACTCATTTATTTTATTTTATTTCAGTTTTAAGTTCAAGAAAAATAGCTTTATAAATCGCAAAAACGGACCAGCTACGTTTAAAACGGAGGAGATAATGTTAACCAAAGCAACTATTGTGGTTTTCATTTTTTCAATCTGCATGCTCCAAGGATCGAACCCTTGTCCAGCAGCATGCACGTGTACAGACAACAGAAAGGAAGTTCAGTGTTCTGGTAAACAACTGAACGCCATTCCTAACATACAAGGCTCAAATATTACGACACTGGATGTCAGCTTCAACAATATCTCTCTGATCCATCCCAATGACTTCGGCAACTGGGGAGGACAACTGAAATTCTGTTATCTTAACTATAACTACATAAATAAGGTTGAAATAAGTGTGTTTCGGAGGCTTCCTGAACTGACGCACATTCATCTGGACTATAACTTGATTAGTCAGATTGACCAACATACATTTGAAGAAAATCATAAACTATCGAAATTGATCCTGAATGGAAACACACTGACTCTCCCAAATGACACAGAGTTTTTGAATGTGCCTTCACTTCGTTGGATAGAATTAGAAAATTGTAGTATCAGTTATTTGAATGTGAATTTATTTAAAAATATGTCAAAATTGGTAGTTATTAGATTAAGTAATAACCTTATTGAACAGTTACAAACAGAATTGTTTTCTCATTTGAAGAGCTTGAGATATCTACATCTCGAAGGAAATAATATAAAAGAAATTGATCCTTACATTTTCAAAAGTAATCATAAACTTGAATGGTTATACCTACGCAATAATCCATTGAATCAGAATCAGTTCAGTCGAAACCATTTCTTGCATGTTCCGTCTATAATTTTACTTGACATCAGTTTCTGCAACATTAGCCAAATATCAAACAGCTGCTTCACTAATCTGCATAATCTTCTTGGTCTTAAGTTAAATAACAACGTATTGAAATCCTTTAACGTAATACAGATTCCCAAAAACTTAGAAGTTCTGGATATATCGCGAAACTCTATCACGACCATAAATGCAAGAAAGGAAATCATTAGGCACACGAAGAATATAAAATATTTGGATTTAACACACAACGAATTTATTTGTGACTGTCATTTGTATGATATGTGGTTGTGGTGTGCTACGTTAAGAAGTAGACCTGGAGGCATGAGTTATTGTGATGATTTCTGCCCAGCATTTAAACCCATGACATGCAAAGGACAATATTCTCAAAATGACAAAGCACGAAACACGTCAAAACATTTTAGTTCAAGAAACCCAGAAACAAATCAGAAATATGTTAACCATTCGTCAGAAGGAATCAATTCTGATTATGAAACAAATGGCACTCAAGACAATGTTGACATAGAAACTATCGACGATATGGATGTTGATACAGATATTGCTAACGACACAATTGGGAAATATCAAATTAATGACGAAAGTGAGTCCTCAGATTTAGGTTCGACTGATGAAAAAGACCAAGTAGAAAAAAGAATGTGGGGTATAATTCTATATTCATGCATTGGTGTTATGGGGGGAATGTGTCTTATTGGGGCAGTAGTTTTGGGAACGGATATGTTCTTAAATTACAGAAAATCACGTGGTGAGAAAAACTGTAATTCTTTGAGAAGTAGCATGCGACATGTCAAGATGGAACTAATGGATACAGCTGCAGACAGTCAAGAGACGAGACCGCTTACACACAGTCAAGGGTTTGACTTCGTTTCTATGCCGACAAATGCAAATATAACGATTCAGCATGGCAATTCTGGGTCTAGCTCAGTTCAATCGTGAGCAGACATTGACAGAAGAGAAAAACGTGATTTTTAAAATGTATGAAACAAACGTTCAACCCCATACGCCACGAACACAGTTTCAAGCCTTTTTAAAACTGTGTATTTTCGAAAATACAAGTACTGAAATAACATCTGCTGGTATTTTATGCGTGTTACAAATGACTTTCAATGTAAAAACAACAATCTGTCGAAGTAAAGAGTTTTCTGGATGATTTCCACCGTCTAATAAATAAAATCATAAAATCCACGACGTTTCGCAGATGGGACTCTACAACAACATGTCGCCAAAGATGTTGATTATTAATCAGAAAAACAGTTCTGTTGGCAATACTGACGGGAAACTGGGAATAGGAGAACCGCGGCCACCTTTAACAGACATGAACATGACATGTGCTGTCCTGCTATCTACTGAATTAAAATTATGCTATATTCAATTAACAGCGACAACACACATTGCCATTGTAAGATTCGCGTCTTCTGACGCTCGAAGGCAGCCAATGACAAGTCACTGCTTGTCAGGACACATTAGTCATCCCGCACTGCAAAGTTGTATCAAAGTGGAAGACAGAAATATTGAAGACTGAATTTAAAAAAAAAATGTATGTATGTGTTTGTATAGATATTTGTAAGGGCAGACAAGAAATGTGATTAAATTAAATGTAAAATCACAAGGAAGAAAATTACATGCTTCTCATTTCAATTTTGTCCTGACTTTTGCACCAGTCTGCATACAAATGTATTGCCATATTACTTCTCAAATGATCGCTATAAAAGCATACGTAAATAATTCACTGTTTTCCCGTTTTCGAACCTTAAAGTTTTAAGCTAACACTGCAGCATGCATGTTATGGTAGGAGATGGATATTTAAGAATTTTCAGTGACTTAGAACATTGAATACAGAGTGTATAAACCATGATGCTTATAAAATATTATTTTAAAAATGTAATAGTTTTAAGAATATCAGACCTTTCTTTTACCAATGTAGTATTAATTTATACATAAAATATTTCATAAACTTTAATAAAAATCCATTAAATACTGTTTTGTTGCACGCATCCTTTGTAAAATTCAACATAACAAACTGTTACGTTCTGAAAAGTTAACATGTGGTGTCTTACAAAATGACATGTTAAAATGTTTTTTGGAACGAAGACAATATGGAGAAAGAAGACATCTTGCCATCTGCCAAAGCAGTTAAAACAGTGATCCTGAAGTGAACGAATTTAGCAGGACTTAAGGGAGAAGGCACTGCATGTACTTGATTTTATAATTTCGTATTTCTTAATACAGGAAACGAAGAGTCAAAAGGTTCTGAACTGAATGGTAGCCAGTATTACCTGAAATTAAAGTTGTCCCTAGCTGTAGTTAAGCACCACGCTATGAAGACATATGAAACAGTGGAGGTATGACTTCGTGTATTCATAACTTCAGTGCTAGATGGAGGTAGATTGGCGGCTTCGAGCCCGGGGCAGAGGACTCCGGTATAGAATTTGATAGGAGACTGGGTCGGCCTCAGAATTGATCTGGACGCCGCAGCCAAATGAAAAACTACTTAATTTAATCACTATTAATTTTCTCGTAAATATAACTTTTTTGTTTTACTGTCGTTCCCAATTATTTGAATTTTCCCATACTTTCATACCATTTATTAGTCGTATTTTCTTCACTGTTTATCTTGCCTCCTGATGACGAGACATGACAATATTAATTTTCTCTGCACTGTGCACATGAAATCTTCGTCGGTTATGAGAACCTTTAAATTCTATGTGGTTTTCTTTGTGTTTACTTTTAAGCCAATCTCCTTGCCATAAACGTTGTATTTAATTAACAATCTCCCGCTACCCAATTTTGTAACGCAAACATGGTCACCGAATGACAATCTTAGATCACGTGATATTATTAAGCAGATTTATATATGCCTAACATTACCATATCAACGATCCCGTCACACAAATCCATGAAAATAGTTTAAGCAAACCGGTTTACCTCTGGATGACATTAGACTTTGGTGGTTAATTACGGAAATATTCAGGCTGACTTAGTTTTGACAAGATAATTAAATTGAAGCCAAGACAGAAAGTTACGAAGACAGAGAGAGAAGGACACTGAATTAAGGGAAGGAGAAAATGGATACAGCCAACGTAATATAGAGAAAGAACTTAAATATCAGAGAGAAGAAGATAAGGAATGTGAAGTTAATACACCCGAAAGGGCATATAGGCCTATAATCCAAAAGATACATAGAACGTATCCATAAGAGACTGCGCCGTTAAATATAATAGCATATTCGCAAAAATCAGGGTGGTTTTTCAAACTCTGACGCATTTGTCAGCACTAGAAAGAAAGAAAGAAAGAAAGAAAGAAAGAAAGAAATGTTTATTTGATAAGGATGAGTTTCTGAGTACCAGAAAAACTATTTGGACCTCAGAAAGAGGAGGTAAGCTGGAATGGAGGGTATTAAACAGGGAAAACATTCGAAATCTATACAGGTCTTCAAAATATTGTTGGACGGCGAAATTATAAACTTAGACGGAATACAGCTAGAGGGGGCGAGATAGTAGGTATCTCTGTTACCATGGAAATCTTATCGAATGCTGACACTGAGATAAAGAGAAAATTAATCGTATGGAAAAAAGTTTGTGAGGAAATGTGGATGAAACTGGCTTATGACAACGTCCAATAGCATGCCCTCAATTTACGTATGTAGTGAGCTGCTTAATTCGTGAACGTTGTAGTGAAGTGGCTAGTATTCTTAATCAGTCCATGATTCGAATCTCGCCTTGGGGCTGACTGTATTGATTTGTTTGTGGATATCTCAGACCGTCGGATCAAATACTGGGGTAATGATTTAGAAAAATCCACATCCTTACCAGGTGGTATTCATATTGGAAAATTGTAAAATGGTGCTTATTTAGCACCACGGCATGAAATTATAGCTCCATTCGTTCTCGTCTTCGGCACTACGTACACGTGAATGGTCAGCTTCACGCCCCTTCCGCTTTATTCCCGGGGGTAAAAAGCACCAATGTCCATTGTATATAGCTTTGGTGTACCACAGACCCGGCCTGAACGTCACAGCGAATGAAAATTCTTCTGCTCCTGCAGTGAATCATTCTTTGGTAATCCAGCCTAATCGCTGTTACAGACTGAGTTACCCGGCTCCTTTGTCGTTCATCGTTCCCTCGTATTCTATGTCGCGCAATATATGGCGCCTCAACTGCCTCAACTGTGTAAATAACGTCAAGATAACAGACTTGATCAGTTTCTTAGAAACTCCCAAATCGTAGACATAACGAGGACTTGGAAGATTTGAATTCTTTAATTTAGAGATGAAAATCCTGGATGCAGGAAATTTCATGAATATGGCTGTCTTCTGGCTTGTTGCACCGTGTAGTCTGGTAGAAGTTTACCGACGTTTCATATGTGCTTGTTGCCTCCATCATCAGGACGATCTCATCGCTACAACCCAGAAGACAGCCATCTCTTCTTTTATTTTTTTCTCACTTTTAATCTATTTTCCTCCCTTTCCTCTCTTTACATTCGTGCTTATTTATTATTTATTTCTATATTTTAATTGCCTCTCACTCTCCTCCCATTCTTTAGTTCGCTGCATCTCTTTAACTTACTGGCTTCCTGTCTTATTTTATTTTCGTATTTTCGTATTTCTTACTCAATTTCTGTGACCATATAGAGTGGTCGATGTCATGTCCCTACCAGCGACCTGAGAATAAGGCTGTTCCATGATTCATACGTATCATAAGTACGAAAGACACGTGTATCAAACCCAGCAGTTTATAAGGTACGAATGCAGACGTTTTACTACTCCGGGTGATGCGCCATCTAGCATCTAACTGCTAAGCCACATGGCTGTAATATCCGATCTAGATCTCAGGAAACATGTGATGCTGGAGACTGTCTCTGTGCGGGGTCGGGAAGTGGCTAATAAAGTAGCGCTCTGGGGCCGAGTCTTAAATCGAGACGCGGTGAGTGCGAAAGTTTGTAATGGACTCATCATGTGTTAAGTTTCCCTCGCCAGCCGGAAGCCCAATCATAACTCAGATTACATTCTTGTGCATCACTGGCATTGCTGCTCAAATTGTTTTTCTGTGTAGCCGACATTGATTCGCTTGGTTTTTGGCACGAAAATGTCACTATTTCATAGAGTTCAAGGAAACAGCTGCTGATATCATTAAGTGTAGTACTGATGCTGTTTGAAACACACAGAACTACAATTTCTACCGTTGTTTTATATTGGCGTAAACTTGGTTTCTTACCGTGAAGGAAGAACAAGCCGGTGGGTTGAGGATATTTCAGAAAGATTGTTGAACAGAATGTTTTATCCTGAGCAGGAAGAAGAAACAAAGAATAGACAAAATACCATAATCAGTAACTTCGTAATTAAGCTTCTCGCCTAATATTGTCAATGTAATTAAATAAAGTATGATAAACTGACGAGCGTGTAACGTGTAAAGAAAATTGGGAAATCAAATATAATCTGAGTCACAAAAAAATCAAGATAAAAGATAATATTAAAACAGATGTTAAATAAACAGGATGTGGAAGGACAAGATTTAATTGAACTTAGGATAGTGTCCAATGGCTGACTTGTAAACGCAGTCATGAACTGTCAGGTCCCATGAAAGCCACGGAATTACTGTCACGTTTTGAAAGAAATTCCTACACTTTAAAGTTAAATATTTGATGTAACTGCTGAATCAGTAAAGTGATTGGTCACGTACACGAATGTTTGGTATTTAGGTTTCGAGCAGATAAGGATATGTCTGTTAACCACACTCACTCTATTTCAGAATCAGCATCGCATCCAATAGGAAACAAGGCCTTTTTCCTCTGGGTAAAACAGACTGGGTGTGGCTTCACCCCCTCACGTATGTGTAGCGCCAACGTCTGAAATGCATAGAGTTTAACACCTTTCACGCCTTCAAGACTTCGTGTTTAGGTGTAGGGATATCTAAACGAAATTTATCGCTGCGACATGAAACAAGCGGTATATTTTGTAGGGACTGTCTGAGGCCATAGGAATCTCTCTACCAACAAGAGACAAATAGCAAATCGTGAAGACACTTCGACCAGTGTTGGAATGGGTTGAGACCGTGGCCGACTACTGGTATCAGCAGTGCTGATAACAGCTGAAAACTTTTATCACAACTGTTGAATTACCTTCCTCAGTACAGACCAGTTCAAAATAAGTCGCAAGCCTATGAGAGTTGCTTCTATTTACTGTTCTCACTTTGAGACCAAGTGACATACATAAATCCTTGTAATGAGTTCTAAGAATCGTACTTTACCACCTACTCAAAAAACACTGTCACACTCAGCGGCTCTAACCCTTTGAAGCACGAACATCATCTAAATGTTTTTACATTAACTGAATTATTTTGTCAGAGCAAACAAAATGAGTTAATTAATTCTGAGAACAATATAATACGTATGAATACGATGTAGGCATAGTGCTAAAACTGGTGGTACACATAGCTACCACATTGCTTTAAGAGGTTAATTTCGTGCTTTGAGTCCCAACTCCAGCCTCCAGCCATCTCCAAGGAACACGAGTTGTGTTGTTACCGCCAAGATAAATAAGAGAGAGAAGAAAAGAAACGGACGAAAGGCGAGAAGGAGGAAAGATGGAGAGAAAGGATTAAGAGGTGCGAAAGAGAGAAACAAATAAGAGCACAGAAAGAAAGACGCCATTAGTCTTTGTGAGTGATTACCAATCTTTCCGAAGAACCTGCTGCTTCAAAACTGTACGGTGTCACAATCCAGAAGACCAGAAACAGAGATGAAATCATTAAAGAAGAATCATAAAAACAAGAGTAGAAAAGCATTAAGATGTGAAGGAGAAAGGAAAGAAGGGTGGAAAATAAAAAGGTAGAGAAACAGGAACAAATCAAGGTGGCAGGAAAGCTCGGAAGAATAAAAGAGAAAATTAAGAAAGTGCGCGAGTTCAAAACCAATGAAGGCGACTGAATACAGAAAAGTTCTCCCTGGAATTTAGGCTGACCGCACAAGCTGGAGAGAGAGAG